CAATTGTTAAATTTAGAATTGCTTTCGTAGATATACGGTAGCAGAACGTTTGCAATTATTATTATAGATGATTATACGAGATTATATATTGTAGCCTACTAATTCTATTATTTATGATAAGTAATATCTTACTACTGTATAAGTAAGATTATAGTTTCGTTACTTATATAGGTTAAAATACTATGCATGAACGATCTTACTATAAAAATTTAAATATACTTAATGAATACGATTATCGTAGACTGTGAATTCAATTGACTTACAAGAAAACATTGTAGACCATTGTATATCGCCAAATGAACCATAACCTATAGAACCAGAAGCCCAACCGTACTGAATGGCTCCATATGTCATACTACTGTCATTATGAGTTAATCTGCTTGTACCAATCGAAATATTTATAGATGCTGTAGAGTAAACATTACTTACATCATTCGTAGTGACTTGTCGCCAACTGATTCCTTGTAATACTTTTCCATTTAACATTAATCCGTCTTTATATTTATCTTGTATCGTGATTAAGACGTAATTTGGATTGATATTGTATATTGTAAATAACGATGGTACGGTTATTACGAGGTTGTTACTATATTGTTCGATTGCTGGTACGATTGTCATAAACGGATCAGCTCCCTTAAGATCTGCATTAGTTCCTTTAGCGAACTGTACAACTAGACATGGCTTATCGCACGTAAGAAACGAATCAGTGCCGCTAGCTAACTCGAATTGTGTAAACTCGCCTCGGGATAAATTGTAATTTGAACTTGCTGATTGAAGGCGTACCGTAGTATTATCGTAAGCGGCGACGATACGATATATATCTCCAGCTGCTCTACCAGTAAATGTCGATAATATATAATTTTGGCCTAAGTATTTACTTGGTATATAATGTTCTTGTAAAGGCTCGCAATATCTGTTACTTGTAGGAACGTTAGCGCAAAGATTTCCGGCTAGAACTGAGATATCTTTGTTAGAATATATAATTGTTCCAGTTAGATCTTGCGCGATCTGGAAAAAGAATCCTTGATTAGGTAGTAAATTAATCGTCAGATTCCTATTTCTAGAATAAGTTTGCCCTCCGTAATTAGTATTGCTTGGGAAGCTAATCTCAACTTGTGTGTTGGCATCTTTACTGATTATTAACATATGTCCATAAATAAGAGGAGTATACGTGGCAATAACATATTCTTTACCATAAAATTGGACTGGTAAAATATGACATGAACTTGCTAGTGTGCTAGATGCTTGTAAACTGGTAACAGTTATATCTTCATCTGAAGTGATATGTATTGTCTTCGAAGCTATTCCAGTTACTCTATTTTCGCTTGTTGCTTTAAGTTTTACGGTTGTCGAGCTGTAAGATGAAACATTGTATTGAGTAGCTGTATTGAAATAGTTATTTCTAACAGTAATGGCGGCAGATTTATCTAGAGCTGTGACGATAGCAGCTACCGTTGCACCAGCACTACCAGAGCTGAAAAGTCCGAAATAGAATTCTCTTCCAATACTTCGTATTGTTTTAGTATCTAATATCGAAATAAGTAGGTGAAGAGTCGTGGTTATAATGTGCCATAAACAGCATTATAGTTATGTTTATAACCTATCACTAGTGTTAATTCATTTCTATATTCGTCATAGATATATAGTAAGTAAAATAATAGTTCATGCACTTCTTAACTGCAATTATATGTGCTTGTAGAGAAGTGATCGTTCGCAAAGATTAATCGAATATTTTGTAAAGTGGGTGACTATGTACGCGCTCGCGGTCTGTTCACATACGCATTATTTCTTACGAATCAATATTTTGGATTGTTTGGTGTTACAGTAAATGTTATCTACAAAAATAACATTTTTAAAGTATTGTAATTGAATAAAATAAGTGATCTAGTTGTTTACAATGTATTTTCTTGCATTAATGAAAGTTGGACGAGAAATAATAACCGTATTCATCAAAGATTAAGTCAGTCAATCGATTAAGTCTCCTACAGCCTATAGGTCATTAACACTCTTTTGCTACAGCGTTTCTAACTTCGTCTTTCTCAATTTC